TGGTCTCCCACTGGTTCTTTGACATGTGATTCTGTTCTCTATTCTCACAATGAAGGATACCCTGTACTCTCTTAGCAAAGTTCCCTGGGAAGGAGCCTTGGAGCACAGATTCATCAATCTCCCACAGAGGGGCAGAGGAGGACATGTGGCTGATCACAGGTTGAAAACCAAGAAGGGGCTGACATGCTTCCCAGTCCTAGAGGAAGAGATTCCAGTCTGGCTCAGAAATATTAAGGGGAAAGTCCAGGCTCGTTCTTTGCATTTTTGAGCCCCTTTACCTTGGATCAAAAATTCACTTGGCAAACAATGGTCACTCCCTTACCACTCTCAGATTTCTATGTCAATCCAGAGTCATGACCTAGAAAATCAAAGAACCTAGAAAATCAGAAATCACTGGTGCTCATATGACAGCAGATGGCAGCTCTTTTTTCATGCCAGACACTTTAAAGGAAGGGAGATTGAAGCTTACATCACATGGCCCTTCATTAGAATTTTGGTTTTTCGGTAAAATGAGGAGTCAGCTGTCACATTACTCTGGATTCACTACTTCTCTTTAGAAAAAAACAAGACTACACAGACAAGTAACAGAAGAACAGCAACAAGGTCAACCAGGACAAAAACTTAATCTCCTGCTTTTTTCCTCTTTCTGATCTTCTAATGCTGGATTTGCTCTTAATTTTCATAACTAGACAGAGACCATAGATGTATCTTACATTATACATCTGATGTGTATCTGAAAAACTATGTGTGATCCTGATGTGAGTAAAAAATAAATAAAATTTTAAGATGCTATTTAAAGAAATTCCATGGTGAATAATCTTTTTAAAAGATAAGCGTCATTCTAGAAGAGGGAAAAATCACATGCCCATTTTTTTTCTGTTTTTCATTGAAATATTTAACATATAACATTGGATAAATTTAAGGTATATAATACATTAATTTGATATTTACATACTGTAATGATTGCTCCTGGAGCAAAAATTAGCACCCACAACATTAGATAATTTCTTTATAGTGGGTAGAATATTTAAATTCTAGTCGCTTAGCAAGTTTGATGATTATAATAAATATTGTTGTCTATTCATATACACATTTCTTAATTTGAATCTATCTCTTAAGCACTTACTAACTGTAAGATACTATACTAGGTACTCAAGGGGCAAACAGACCCCATATTTCCAATTTCCTCAAGCATTTATGTCACTGCTTAAAAAAAAAACAACAACTTGAAACAACTTATATTTGCACAAAAAGCTAAGAATAAGAAAAGTTTTTAATACAGTTTATCAATTCTAAAGTATACTCTTCACATTTTAATTTTTCTGAAATCAGAAGATGCATTATAACTGCTGGCATCTTCCCACGGCTTCCCCATATTGCAGCTGTGATGCTGCCACTACTGTCTCTGGTAGTAAATTGATCCCATATAATGACCCTTTGGTTGAGTTATGAGTCATATTGGAACTACATATATGAGTCTGACTGTCATTTAAGAAGTATCAAGAAGATCACAATATGATACAGAATGGACACCAAAAATTCACTATATAGTGTAAAAGGTCTGGAAATAGCAATAGGGCATGACATTTTATCAGGGAAACAAATATTTCTTATTGGAGGACTACTTCATTTCTACATTTTTTTGTAAAGTAACAGCCATATATCAAGTGATAAGAAAATAGTGTATCAAACTATAATTTCTTTCTTAGTGTATGTATCTATATCCATGTATTTCATTCTTGCTTGTGATACTAATTATAGTTAATAAAGACAAAAATAGACAGGTGGGACAATATAAAAGTAAAAAAAACCTGCATAGCAAAAGAAATAATAAAATGAAAAGGCAATATACATACAGGAGAAAAATACTTGCAAACCATATATCTGAAAAAGGGTATTACAATATCCAAAATATTTAAGGAGTTGCCACAATTCAATAGCAAAAACAAAGGATAGCAAGATTAAAAATGGGGTAAAGACTTCAATAAAAATGGGGTAAAGACTTCATTTCTCCAAAGATATACAAATGGCAAGTGTGTACATGAAAAGTTATTCAACATTACTATCATTGGGGAAATATAAATCAAAGCCACAAGGAAATGTCACCTCATACTTGTTAAAGTGGCAATTATCGATAAGATAAGAGGTAAGTAGCATTGGTGAGTATATGGAGATACTGAAACACTTATGCACTGTTCCTGGAATTGTAAAATGATACAATTACTATGAAAACTAGTGTAGAGGATCCTCACAAAATAAGAAATAAGACTATCACATGTTCCAGCAATTTAATTTATAGGTATTTATCCAAAGTAATTGAATTCAGGATTATGGGCCTCCATGGTGGCGCAAGGGGTTAAGACACAACCTATGAAGCTGTCCTCAGCCTCTGCAGCACGAGTTCGATCCCTGGCCAGGGAGCAACCCACATAGTGCAGCAGACCTCTCCTGCCTCACCTGCTGCTCCCCTCAGAAGCATATTTCAGTCAGTCTGCCTGTTCTGTTCCCCACTGTGTCTCTGGTGAATCCTCTCACAACCACCCCCACTTCTAGCCTGTACCCCAGCTCTTGTGTGCATCAGTAAAGGAATTCAGTATTTTGAAAAGATAATTACACTCATTCATTATGACATTATCCACAATAGGCAAGATCTGGAGACAACCTAAATGTCCACTAGTGGATGAGTGAGCAAAGACAATGTTAAATACATATAATGGAGACCCACAGCATGGCAGTATAAAGAGGCTGGAATCACCCTCTCCCTTGAAAGCAACTAGAAAAAAAACACTGACATGTACGCCTAGAAAAATTCAGACTCTTAGAATCAGCTATACAGTTCCAGAATATCTCAAAGGAGCTCAAGAACTAAGGTTGATGGCTCCTGAGGGGAAAGAATAGGAGGAGGCTATGGAGAGTGGGTCAGGGCAGGGGGTCAACTCCCTAAGCCACTCCAAGGGAAAACCAGGCACTGTGAAATTCCTGGGAGGAATTTCCCTGGCACAATATGGGACCATGCCTAACCCAAGGCAGACTCTCACTGGGGGAAACTGGGAAACCCACAATTGGGGCAGTGTGTCCACAGAAAGCTCCCTCCCCCATCCCTTCTGGAAGAGATCAAAGAAAAGTCAGGTGGAGCCAGACTCAACCCCATTATGAGCTCTACAACAGAAAGAAGCCTTTAGAGTCAACTCACAAATTCTCCACAAGGTAATCCAACCTTGCGGAAGCTGTAGTTAAGGCAAAGGCAGAGCAGCAGCAGCCATTGTGGGCAGTCATAGTATTAAGTGGGTACATGTGCTCCCACTATACACACAGTGCTACCTTTGAGCTGAGTGCAAATTATTCCCAGAGTGTGAGCCTGGAGATCCAGATATTGCCCTTCCCACTGGGAGGCCCAACTTTCATAGATCACAACCCCCAGAAGAAAGGAACAACAGGGAGGTGAGGAGGAAATGAAAACAACATAAGCATAGAATACAGCTTATTGCAGAACAAAACAAGAGTCAAAGGTGACTAACTCCACTCCTCCAACCGAGCCCTAGACCCCCCCTCCTTTCTCCATCTCACACTAAGGTAAACTAAGAGGACAAAGTCAAGTCCTCAGTGCCCCAACCACATACACACACATATGTAGCAATAAATAAGGCAATATATATATGCCTAGGAGGCAAGGAACGTCTCAACATAAGGCGGAATAGCAAAATGAGAGCAGGGACAAGTATAAAAGAGCCTGAAATAGAGAACTATTTGACAATGATTTCAAAACAACAGTAACAAAAATGTTTAATGAGATACAAGAAGGCCAATCAAAGGCAGACAGGCAGACACACGAGCTCAGAAAGAAGATGCAGGTACAGAGTTCTTCACTAAAAAGATTAAATAAATAAAAAGATCACAAAAAGAGATTCTGAATGAAACGCAAACAAATTTAGATTGCTTTAAATAGAATCAAAATTGCAGAAGACTCAAACAAATAAGGCTCTATTTGAGAAAAACTTTATTACCCCTTCATACCTTCTTTTCTCTTTTCAATTTCTTGCCACATGGGTTTCTGTCCCACTGTACTTGGAAAAACTATCAATTAACTACAAAAATAAAGGCAACCATAGTTATCCACCCTCCTGATAAAATCTAGAGAAAAGCCTAAGACTGTAAGTTGAGAGATGATATGACAATATTATTTTGTTAACAGAGGTATTACCATATTAAGAGAAAAGATGTCAAGTATATCTGGCATTAGCCTATAAAAATGGGGATCTAGACAACTATTGTACCCATTAAAATCTGCTCCTCCCATGATGAGCAGGGTAAGGAGGGGGCTTAATGGACTATGGTGGAGAGTTATGGGTACAATGGTAGTGGGTATGGTATGGTAACATATGTCTGAGGAGGAATGATCCTATACCTCAGAGTCATCTACACTGCTACAAATCAATGTTGTTATCTTAGTAAATATAAATAAATAAAATTCACCCTTCCCAACACACACAGATATACAGAGAGAGAGAGAGAGAGAGAGAGAGAGAGAGAGAGAGAGAGAAAGACTTCTAAATAAGGACTTTTCTAGACCAATACAAAAAGAGGACCTACATTTTACTGAAAATGTAGTTAGAAGAGCAGATGCCACAATCTAACATTTTGAAATGCACTTATATCAATATTTTTCACAAGCGATTATCTGTTAGTTTTTGAAATACATTTTATATCCTTTGTGATCTAACTTTGACACTACCACTATTCAGTAAAGAAAAAAGTCCATTAAAAGTATAATTTTAAGTTATGGTTAACTGCAGGGTTGTAGTGAAAATGTTAGCAAAGGATTTATACTGTGATAAACTGTGAAAAAACACTTAAAAGCCCCACAAATAATGATTACATGCATTAACCCCAGTCTATGTAGTGTCTAAACACATTCTTGCATTTATATAAACATTGTTTTCAATCATTAAATGACCTACAAGGTTGAAGTTATGAAAAATGGTCATGTAAGCAGCAAATACCTGAGGTACTCACAGCTGTGGAATAGGGATTATATGTTCCGGTATTTTCAGCCCAGCAGCCACATCCATAATGAGCAGCCTAGGAAAAAGAAAACAGATAAATATAATATTTCAGAAATAGCTTTCAACAGGAGAAAAAACTCATACCAATCTAATAAAACCTGGTCCAACAATAATAATGTATATCAAGTAGACAATAATATTAGAGATTGTCTAATACCTACTTAATCAATAGTTTTAACACTACCAAAACTATATTTTTAGTTACACTATTAACCTAAAAGTTTTCACAAAATAGCAAAAGTCTCATATGTTCTCACCAGCAGTACTTTTTTCCTTTCTTGACATATTTTCCCCCTACTGAGGACTGTAAATAGTTGATCTTCTAGCAAGAAATCTTTGTGGTTGCCTTAAAATAGTAGTTTTCAGTAGATTTCCCTGGTGGTGCAAGGGTTAAAGACACAGTGCTATCAAGCTATGGCCAGCCACTGTAGCACAAGTTCCCCCAGGCCTGCTAGGGAGCAACCCATGTGGTACAGCAGACCTCTCCTGTCTCTCCCACTGCTCCCCTCAGCAGTATATTTCAGTAGATCTGCCTGTTCTGTGCCCCACTCTCTGGTGAATCCTCTCACCCCTCACACCTCTGGTCTACACCCCAGTTCTTGTATGCATAAATTAATAAATCTTTAAAAAAATATATAGTATTTTTCAAATTAGGCATATATCAAATTGCTTGGGGAACTTGGATGTCAGGATTGACTGACAGTCCTAGATTGACTGAGTGTTATGGGGGTTGAAACAGCAATCAGCATTATTAACCAGGGCCCTCAGGGACTGAGGTGGAGTTGATCCTCCTGCCATACTCTAGGCAGGTCTTCTCCATGCCTCCCATGGGGTGACACAAGAGGAACTCAAGTTATATAACAAAGGGATCACCACTGGAGTCACTCAAATGCAAAGAATGAATGCAAAAAATATCTGTTAAAGCTAATCATACTGTGAGGTGGTAAAGCAGATTTATATGTCTGAAATAACCAGGAACACAATAAACTAGTATAGTTTTATTTTTTTTTGTTTTCTTTATTTTTTTTAAAGATTTATTTATTTATTTTATGCGAGAACTGGGGTACAGGTCAGAAGCGCGGGAGGGTGAGAGAATTCACCAGAGCCAGAGCAGGGAGCAGAACAGGCAGACAGAGCGAAGACACTGCTGAGGGGGGCAGCGGTCGAGGCAGGAGAGTTCTGCTGCGCCTTGTGGGGTTCTCCCTAGCAGGCAGGGAATCGAACAGTCGCTACAGAGGCTGCAGACAGCTTCGCAGCGTGGCGCTCAACCGCTGCGCCACCAGGGAGGCCCCAGTATAGTTTTATAAAAGAATATGACAATCATTCCTATTTTGTCTCCAATAATTACATCCAGGATGTCTGGATTCATCACTTTATTATCCACAGTAATTCTCTGATAATGGGAGATGAATCACAATTGAACTTTTTCAATCCTTAGACACAGAAGTAGAAAAACTCTTAGCTAGCACAAAGACAAATAGGGATGTGTGAGATGAAATCTCCCATTATCATATGACCTACAGTCACCATCCCCAATTATCACTGATGATAGCCCTCTTAAAAATAGAATGAAGAACAGAACACTACAATTTCAATATGGCAGAAAACAGAAAACCTATTATTGCCTTTTCAAACATTACACTTCTAAAATACAGAAGATTGCTGCATCAGTGTGACAAATGAAACTCCTCACGAAGAGATTAAGCATATGGATTTTAGAATAAAACTGACAAATTTCTGGAATAATTTAACTTGTACTACCTAGTATAGCCAAAGTCTCAAAGAACATGTGATCCCTTCACATGGAGATCATTCTTGCCTCACTAAAAACACCCCTGAACATTAGTTTATTGTCCTTTCTATTCCCCATAGTTATCTTGACCTAAAAATAGTAAGACCACAAAAATACCTCTTAAAAGCTCAGTGGAGATCATCTATTTATAGGGGACAAAATCATTAATTCTTACTCTTGTTTCTTCTCTCCAAGTAAGTTCCCTTTATGTCATCTCCCCTCAATCTTATGATCTAGAGTTCTCTCTTTCTTTCTTTCAAAAATAAGTTCACTTATTTTTGGTGGTAGAATTTTATTAAAATTTTATTAAAATTACTATCATGCAATAAAAGTAGATTATATGAATGAAACTTTCATTATTACTACTATCTAATATTCTTAGAGTCTTAATTTCCTCTTTTATAAAAGGAGGATAATAAAAATATCCAGCTCAGAGTGTTGTAGGTCATGTGAATGAACATACCTACTGCTCATAGCAAGAGAATACTAACTCTAACTGTTACAAGGAACTATGATAAGCAAGTCAAATGTTTTTTGTCATTTAATCTTCTAGAACTTTGTAGCTATTTATCCCCATTTAACAATTGTGGAAAGTGGAGCTTAAAGATATTGAATTAATTGTTCATTGTAAAGAGACTGGTTAAGTGGGAAGGTGGGATTAGAATAAAGGTTTACCTAAATCCATGTCTACACTCTTAACCACAAAACTCAGCTGCCTATATGTGTGTGTATGTTGAAGGCTGTGGGAGTAGTGGAATATAATAATTCCTTTCTTATGTCCCAGTTGTAAATTCCAATTATTATGGTAAGCTAAAGAAGTAAATGAGTTCTAATTTAAATGGCCATTTCACCATGTGAACTGGTATTATATATCTAGAGCTGGGTAATATGCTAAAATTTTTAAATAGTTCATTTGTACATTTAAAATGTACTGAAAAGTATCCAGTTTCAGCACATTTTTTAAATAATTACTTCGTTTTTTTAAATATAATTTTCTTGTGCATTTTGTTTCTTTTAGTCGTGATTGTCAAGAACAGTTCTTTACCTCTCATCTGATATTTATGAATTTCTGGATTTATTACAACTCTAGCCAAGCAATATAATCCAATTAAGTGCCTGCATTTTTCCTATAAGCACCTTTATTCCTCTCCTCGACATCCTTTCCCTGGTTTTTCAGCTCTTACAGTCTTAGTGCTGTAGGATAGTATGAATGAACATGTCTTTGGCACACAGCAAAAGAATGCGAGCTATATCTGTTATAAGGAACTATGATAAGCAATTTAAATGCCTATCATAAACTAGCCAAGTGCAGCAAATCAACATGTACACTTTACAGACGTGTTGTTTATTTCCAGAACAGTTCCATGTGCAGTGGCAGAATGACTTCAAGTTTGTTCAATGCAATATCCTGCTAACATATGTCAGTCAGAAGAATCCTTGGTTCTGTTGTTGCTATTTTGCTTACCAAAATAAACAAATGTCAATGAGGAAGCAATGTAATGAAGGTGGTTCTGTTGGTTTTTCTCTCTTCTTCACCACCAAGACATTCAAATCTAATACACCAAATTTAGTTTTCTTATTCCAAACTTGAAAAATACACAGGGTTTTATATAGTGGAAAAATACCATGACTGGACAAAGACTTTCTATAATGAATTCAAAGTTTGTATGCATGTTGAGTAATCAGCATAAAAAACCCCTTGTATATAAGGCAAAGAGAAGCATAAAATTAACTATGTTTACCTTTTCCTTTACCCCATAGGACTGTAGGCTGTTTGTCTACAATAAAGGGCAGATCTAGAAACATGACTTGGGACTTTGCAAAGATATCCTCCATAAATCGGATAACCCCACTCTAAGCATTTGTTACCACTGTGTCCAAAGCAACTGTGATACTAACTCTTCTTCAAATTTGAGAGCGTGCCAAAGAATGCTCCACATGTAACACAAAATACAAACACTGAACTTTACATACACCCCTTACAACTTCTTTGACAAACCCCATGAGGATGTCCAATTCACCTTCACCCAACAAATATTTATAAAACCCATAAGTAACAAGCCAAATCACTTAGTACTCAGAAAGCTTACTAGATCAATAGGATTACTGAATTTTATTCTCAGTCTCGAACTATAGGTTGGAAGTGGGTGAAGACGATGCCCAAGTCAACTAGACTATTACACACAGGGCCCCCCGGTGGAGCAAGAGGTTAAGACGCAACCTATGAAGCTATCCACAGCTGCTGCAGCATGAGTTTGATTCCCAGCCAGGAAGATACCCACATGGTGCAGCTCTCCTGACCTCTCCTGACTCGCCCGCTGCTCCCCTCAGCACTGTATTTCAGTCAATCTGCCTGTTTCTATTACCCGCTCTGTCTCTGGTGAATCTTCTCACCCCCCGCCCCGCACCTCTAGCCTGTACCCCAGTTCTTATATGCATAAATAAATAAATCTTTTTAAAAAGAACATTACACATAAATTAGGATCTTTGTATATCTAGATTCTTGAGTGGCATCATGTATTGGTGACGTGAAATACTGGTAGTCTATAAAGTAGCTGAAATGCTTAATTAGGCAAGAGATTTTTAAGGTCAAATGTAGTCCTCAAAGAACAAAATACAAAATATAATTAACTTTACTTTCCCATCTACAAAGCAAATCACCATATTGTCAGGTAGTACTTGTTCCAGAAGAGTGACATTTACAAAAAAAAAAAAAAGGAAAAAAAATCAACACACATTTCACCATCTACTAAATTTGCACAGTTATTAAATCTACTAAATGTATAGGCCACTACCCAATCTGTTGAAAGCAGTAAAACATAGGATTATCAATTGTAAAGATCAGAAAGTACCCGATTACTACAAGGAATCTTATAAATGTATTTTATTAATGAATTATACGATACAAACATTAAAAAACATATTGTTTATTTTTTCTGAAGAAAAAAATTTACTAGGTTAAAAAATTCTGAGCTAGAATTTATTGTTTTAACTTGAAAAATTAGTTTAAAAACTCTATAGTTACTTACCTGCCCAACTCTCCCTGGATGTTTCAAGGCCAAGCCTCCACTAGAGACAGCAGCAGCAACATTCCCTTCATGATCCACAACCACAGCGCCCACTGTATCCAAAGTGCCTGAGTCATTCTCCTGTAGATCAAAAGTAGCAAGAACATTCACTATGTAAGCACAGTATGTGACAATTTACTATGACCACATAGCACTTTTCAGTACAATCATGACATAACAAAATCTGAGCTAATCCTTATGTGGAACATTTAGCAATCTCCTAAAATTATCTATTATCAAGTTGCCACTTAAATTCAGTTCATGTCAAAATATATTTTCCATTGAAAACTCATGAATAAAAAAATTCCTTGTTGCTTTACTCTAATAATAAGCCTAACAGGACTTTCTAGGGGAGGGAAAAAAAAAAAACCACTATTGAAAATAAATTACAGTATATTATCACAGTGGCTCCTTAATCTCAAGAATTAAGTTCACGAATTTGTAGTGGAGAAGATCTGTTGCATAAGTGAACCAGTAAATAACATTATTAGTATTTTTAAAATAGTATATACATATTTATAATATAAATATATTCAGCACAATAAAGGAGAATGGCATTTATAGTCTTGTATATGATGCATTAATTTTCTTTTCTATTTCCTTGATAGTGTGAAACTTTATGGCTGGCTCCCTTCCCTACTATATTAATAATGTTTGCCAACTTTATGGCAGAAAACTGTCCATTCCTGGGAGGTATCTTCATGTTTCTCTGTATTTTCCCAGGTCCCGCACACTTAAGGCATTTCACATTTTGTTACTAGAAGCAGTTACTACCACCAACATTGAAGATTTCTTGGTTACCAAAAGTGTAAGATAAATTTTATAGCACTGGGTAAAAATGAAAGTTAAAGGAGATGGGAAAATCATCTTACACCAGGACACTGATTTCTAAACTATGCCCCAAACCCAAGATTCCCACCCCTAAGTATGCACAACTCTATATTCACCAAGACCAATTGACCCTCCTACATGGTTGACTGCCCAGAGTACAGAGCAAGATTTCATTTGTACTCGAGTATCCTGTCTAAGAAGTTTTGAAATACCACACTAAATCCCTTTTACCCACAACTGAGGATGTCAAGTCAATGCAGTCAAATGTCCATATGCTAGAATACTGCAGATGGCAGACTGCCTGACTTTCAAGGTTAGTTTCCTAATCTGAATTGTAAACTCAGCTTTACTTCTTCTTTCCCAATTTGGATTCCTTTTATACTATATTGAATAGTAGTGCTAAAAGTGGACATCATTCTCTTATATCAGTTTAGTAGAAAAGCTTTCAGGTTTTCACCAATGAGAATGATGTTAGTTCTTGGTTTGTCATGTATTGCCTTTATTATACTGAGGAATGTTCCATCTATCCCATTAATTTAGGGGTTTTATTATAAATGGTTAATGAGTCTTAACAAATACATTCTTAGCATCTATTCATATGATATTAATAATAGTATTATTAATAAATAAAATTGATAATAATAAACAATGGAGAAAGGAAAATCTGTCTAATAAATGGTACTGGGAAAACTGAACTGGGATAAGACTAGACCATTATCTCACAACAAACACAAATTAGCAAAATGGACAAATGATTTGGATATACATCATGAAACCACAAAATATATAAAAGTAAACATAGGCAAAACACTCCATGATATTCATTTCAGTGATGTCTTTGTGGAGTTGGTTCTAATAGCCAGAAAAGCAAAAGATAATATAAACAATTAAGATGCAAAAAGTACATAAAATAAAAAAATAATCTTTACATGGACCTATGACCTTGGCTTCATTAAAGCATCTTTAACCTGCTTTAAAAAAAAAAAAAAAAGAATACTGAAAGGATTGCACACAGCAAAAAAAAAAAAAAATCTGTCACTAAAACAAAATGACACCCTATGGGATGGCACAAAATATCTGATAAACCAACATACATCTGGCAAGAGGCTGATATCTACAATCTACAAAGGTTTCATATAACTCAATGAAAAGAAAACATAACACAATCAAAAAAAAAGGGCAGAAGGGCTAAACAGGCATTTCTCCAAAGAAGACAGACAGATAGCCAACAGGGACAAGAAAAAAAGGCTCATCATCACTTATCATAAGGGAAATGCATATCAAAATCACAATGAGTTATCACCTCACACCTGTGAGAATGATGCCTATCAAAAAGACCAGAAACAATTAAGTGTTGGTGAAGAAATAGAGAAAAGGAAACTCTCAAACACTGTTGGTGGAAATGAAGATTGGTCTAGCCCCTGTGGAAAAGAGTGTAGAGATTTCTCAAAAGATCGAAAATAAATCTACTAATTACTACCCAGCAATTCCACTATACTAGCTACCTGAGGAATACCAAAACATTACTTTGGAGGTAAATAAATGCTCTCCTATGTTCATGGCAGCACTATTTACACTAGCCAAGTTATGGAAACAACTGAAGTGGTCTCAAAAAGATGAGTGGATCAGGAAGATGGGTTATACACAATGGAATACTACATAACCCTCAAACATGTAGACACTAAAAAATGCTTTGGATAACTTTTGGGTCAATGAGGAAATTGAAGCAGAAATTTAAAAATACTTGGAGACAAACAAAAATGACAACACAAGTTATCAGAATCTGAAATGGGATACAGCAAGTGTGGTAGTAAGGAGAATATTAATAGAAATACAATCTATTAGGAAAAAAAATAAAAATCTCAAATAATTTAACCTAAAGGAAATTGAAATAGAACAACTGCAATAAAAATTTAGTAGAAGGGGAGGGGGCGGAGCAACATGGCGGCGAGGAGACACTGCGAGTAAGATCTCCCATTAAAAAAAGTGAATAGGGAGGAAAAGCGGCAGGTCCCAGTGAGAACTGGGACACGGAAGATAAACGGGTGACGCCAGCGAACTGCCCGAAGAAGAAACTGGCCATAAAAGAGGACTAGAAGGGAGGGAAGCGCAGAACCCTGCTCCCCTCCCCCGCCCACAGAGGCGGCACTCTCCGACTGGCAGAGAGGAGGAAACAACAAACCAAAACGGCCCACAAGAACAAACGACATAGCAAGCGGGACCATGAGTGGAAAGGAACTATTGCAGCCACCACACCCCGTGAACGGGAGCTGAGGCAAACCCTGCAGGATTCGCCGCGGCAGCGGCAAGCGAACGGCTCCGGGCGCCATTAGAGAAGAACAAAGACCCCGGGAGACACGCACACAGCCCGGGCTGCCGGTAAGCTGGCGCGGGAAAGGCTCGCTCGGCGCCGCGCTTGAAAAGCAAGTGCAGACCTGGATCGCGGCTGCCCAGGTCCCCGCGCCTGCGACCTAGGCTTGCAGGGAGACGCACGGAGGTCCTCACTGAGGTGAAGGTCCCTCCCTGAGTGAGCAGGAACCAGGCGCCCAGGCACGGGAGCAGTGCAAAAGGCGCCATTCCCGCGCCACTGAACTGGGCTACAGCCCGCGTCCTGGAACTGAGGGCTTTGAACTGAGACCCGGGGCACGAAAATTCGGGGCGTGGGTTCTCCACGACGGTGGGGCACAAGGCAGACACAGCACCCCAAAGCTGTTGAGGTGTACCCTACCATTCCCGCTCTGTTCTCTGTCCCACGGGGTGGGGGGAGGCGAAAAACAGCCCCCCAAGGACAATAGGAGAGATCTCTGGCGCCACCTAGCGACCAGGAAAAAAAAAGTCACTAACACCCTATAAAACAGGACATTTCTTAAGACTGCTTGAAAAGGGCAGAAGGTTTCTGGAGGACCCAGTGGCCAGCCGGGAAGTTATTCCACGCCAGGCCCCTTCCGACCAGCAGTCTGAGCCCACAGAGGGAGCAGGCACCCACGTCCTGGGCAGACCGGGTGCGCAGAAGAGTGTGCCTGAAACCGGAGGCGCAGGGACTGCATCCCGCTTCGCCATTTGAGAACAGGGACATTTCTTCAGTAAAAACTGCCTAAAACCAGCAGAAAGCTCCCCCAGAAGACAGAGATGGCTCCTGGAAGAGCCAGAGGGGAGCGGAGAAGTTCACCCAAGATGTCAGTCAGTCCGAGCAACACAGTGTCCCAACGCATACGACAAATTAGAAAACAGACAGTAGGGAGTAGAAGAACCACACGCAACCTAAAAACTCCTCAGGAAAGAAGCACACCACAAAAAGAAAACCACTCCCCAGATTGCAACGACAGCAACTTGGAAGAACTTCTGAGCCTTCCAGAAAGAGAATTTAAAATTGCCATGATTAAAAAAGTGATAGATCAGAAGAAGGAAATTGAGTCCCTAAAGAGGGAAGTAAGAGAAATGCAGGAGATCAAAGAATTAATGGAGGAACTAAAGAACTCTGGGAAAAGCAGTGAAAGCAGAATAGATGAAATGGAAGAACGAATAAGTAATCTTGAAGACACAGAAATAAAAGAACCAAAACAGAAAAGGAAAGAGAAGTACGAAGGAAAAAGAATGAAGAAAGACTTCGGGAACTATCTGACTCCATGAGGAAAGGAAATATAAGAGTTATAGGAATTCCAGAAGGAGAGGAGAGAGATGTAGGAACAGAGAAAATATTCATGGATATAATTGAAGAGAACTTCCCAAATGAGAAGAAGGAGCTGAAAATTGATATACAAGAAGCAAGAAGAACACCAAACTTCCACGACGAAAGGAAAAACACAGCAAGACACATAATAGTAAAGCTCCCAAGAATCCAGGACAAGGAAAAAATAATGAAGCTGACAAGAGGGAAGAAACAGATAACATTCAAAGGAAAACCAATCAGGCTGACATCAGACTTCTCTGAAGAAACACTACGGGCAAGGAGAGAGTGGAGGGACATAGTCAACAGACTCCAAGAAAACAGATGCCAACCAAGAATACTCTATCCCGCAAAGCTCTCTTTCCTCCATGAAGAAAGAATATGGACCTTCCCAGACAAAGAGAAACTCCGGAATTTCATTGCGACTAAACCCCCACTCCAAAAAATACTACAAGGAATCCTAAAGCCAGAACCTCAGAGGGACGAATAACAACGAAAGAAGACCAAAAAAAAAAGTTATTAAAAGAATAAATAAATAAAATCAAAGGAAAGACAAACATAATGGCAAATACAGATGCTAACA